GGGCATGGAAGAGCCACAATTGCAGTCCGAGAAATAACGGACTGCACCTTGGGCATAGGAAGGGCCAAAACTAAGAGGAAGAGGCAAGAATAGGGCCTTAACGGCTAGTTGACACTAGACATGCAAAAAAAAAAAAAAAAAAAAAAAGGAAATGTGGGAGAATAAGAGAAGGGGAGTGAGAGGGGATGAGTGAGTTGGCCGTCAGTTAGGACTACAGCAAGTAGGGACTGCCAAGTCCCAGCTGTCCAAGAAAAGGAGGAAAAAGAAAAGAAAAGAAAAGAAAAATGAGAAAAGGGTCTTAATGGTTAGTTGACACTTGGCATGCTAAAAGAAAAAGAAAAGAAAAGGAAAATGGGAGGTGAGAGAGGATGAGTGAGTTGGCCGTCAGTTGGGACTGCAGCAAGTAGGGACTGACGAGTCCCAACTCTCCACAAGTGCAGGAGAAGAAAAGAAAAGAAAAGAAAAAGAAAAAAAAAAGGGGAAAGTCAAAAGAACATTAACGGACGAAAATGGCCACCGAGGGAAGACATTTTGGACCAGATTCATTTGGGCATATGGCGGTTACAAAGGACTTTGGTTTTCTTTGATTTATGCAGAGAAAATCAAAGAAAATCAAGGCCCATTGCAACCGAAAAATAACGGATTGCTTGGGAGAGGCCAAACACATGTTTTAGATGCACCGGGAGCCAAAATGGAGACCGGATGCACTTGGGACTTGGCTGTTTTATTTTCTTTCAGTTGGGGGTTAGTTGTGGGGCACTAGGACAATGAAAACAGCCCCAACTGCAGTCCGAGTTGCAACGGACTGCTTAGGGAGGGGCAAACACAAGTTTTTGGGGCTCAGGGAGCCAAAATTGAGCCCGGACGTCTTGGGAAAATTAACGCTTTGTTTCCCTTGGGCATGGAGCATGACGTGGGGCTGTGGAACTAGAACATTGGCTGTGCCTGCAGTCCGAGAAATAGCGGACTGCATGGGGATGGTTAGGCCTAGGGGAAATAAGCCACGGCACGCCCAGAAGACTAGAAAACGGCGCCGTAGGCATAGGGGAGCATAACGGTAAATGGTGACGGCAAGGCGGGGGTCCCGCAGTCGAAAAACATAAACGGCGCACTTAAGGCACATGGGAACAATGAAATGGGACTGCCGGGGATATGGGAAGTCCCAAATAAAAATTGGGCATCAACCAGGGTGACACCGGGGGCCAAAAGGACCCAAGTACAAATTGTCGAAAATTGGGCGTTGCCGACGGTACCGCCAGCGAGACGGAAAAACGGAACTAGCGTGGGGAAATGGCGGGGACTTGACGTGTCTCAAGGAGGAAACCATTAGCCAAGGTAGAGAGTCGCAGTGCAAAGCAAACGACACTGTCGAGATCGAAGATCTCGAAGGTGGAAAATATTAGCACCATTAGTGCAAGTGCAAGCACTTGTGGAGCCCAAACGAGTGAAACATAAGTGAAAATAAAGAAAAATAAATAAGGGGGGGGTTGCCCAGCAGTCCGGGATATTTTCGTACAAGCTAGGCTGGCCTTAGAAAATCGGAGCCAAAGGGGCTCCAAGCAAGAAATAGGCTGGCCTTAGAAAATCGGAGCCAAAGGGGCTCAAAATGAAGGCTAACGAGAGCAAAATGAGCCCCCTAGGGACATGGGCATGCCAACTTGGTAGGCCGAGATGCAACGGCCAACAGTCGGCCATGAATCTGGCCATGATTGAGGATCTAAGGCCTAAAAAGAGAGAGCACAACAATTTGACACTTGTCACAGCAAGAATAAAAGAAAAAAGAAAAGAAAAAGGGGAGAAAATGAAGGGAGAATGAAACAAAAAGGGAGAAATGGGTGGAGGAAAATGTGTTGGCCCATTGGGACTGCTGCGGTAGGGACTGCCAGGTCCCAATGATGACCCCACCCCTCCTAGATCCAAGGAGGATAGGCTGGATTGCTGAGATATGGCCCTTGAGGTCATATTTCTACAAAATTTTAATTAAAAAGGTAAAAATGAAAGAAAATGCAAAAAGTAAAAAGCCTGTTTTCTTTTGGGCCATGGATCTGAGATCAGATCTCATGGTGGAGAGAAAACAGCCGTTTTTGGTGGGCCAGCCAAAAACGACTAGCTCCGGAATGATGGGGCAACACAAAATGGAAAGAAACAAAATGTGGAAAAAGACGAAACAGTGCATTTGGCCCAAAAAGAGAGCCAGATGCACCAAAAATTGAAAAATTGAGCTTATGAGCTCAAATTTGAAACAACGACCACCATGGGGTAACTCGGAATAATAGGAATCTTGGATTTCAGCCTGATCCAAGGCTGAAAATGTGCCGCCACTTAGAAAAATGCTCCGGCCTACCCAACGGAGGCCAAAACTTGAGAAAATCAAGAAAAAGGTCCACTAGGTCTTTTTCTCTCAAGTAGGCTACCCCTTGGACCTTGGACTCAAGGGGGCAGCATTTTCCAAGGGGTCGGAGGGTGGAAAAAGGCCCAAGGGGCAGACCGAGTTGGTACCAGCCACTCAGACTGCATGAACCTGACCAAAAAGAGGTCAAGGTGCCCCCGGAGAGGCCTAAAGGTCAGAATTGGCCATTGGGGTACCTCGGTTCACTATAGGCACTTGGAGAGGCCCATGGGCTGGCCGGACTGTTGTTCCCAACCTATATAAGCTGGGGATTCAGTCCGCCACACTCACACTTGCATGAGGAGTGCCCATGCTGGCCAAATGTGCCCGTATGAGCTCTAGACTCACTTGGAGTGAAGTGAGGGGAACCCCTGCCAGTTTGAGAGTATAGAGGAGGATGTGAGCTAGTGTGAGGGACTCTACAAGCTAGTGGTAGTAAGGGAAGTCATCCGCCATAGCTCCCAGGCTAGTGAGGAAGAAAGCAAAGCTGAGAAGGGTCCCATTAGCCCTCCAAGAGGGGAGGACTCCCTAGCCTTACTGATAAGAGTTTGTGGCAACTTGGGGAGAGAGGAGTAAGGAAGGAGAAGGGCTTGGAGGGGAAGGAAGCCATAGCCAAGTACGAGGAAGTTCATCAAGAGTTGAGACATCCATCCCAAGGCTGCCAAGGGGGTGAGTGAAGAGATGCCTCCCCCTCTTCCCCCTTCTCTTCTTCCTCTTCTTCTTCCCCTCCTCCTCCCTCTCCTACTTCTACTTCTTCTTCAACCCCCCTACTCTTCTTCTGTATCCTCTTCTTCTTCTTCTTCTTCTTCTTCTCCTTCTTCTTCCCCCTCTTCTTCTCCTTCTTCCTCTCCCCCTTCTTCTTCTCATCCTTCTTACTCATCTTCTTTTTTTCCTTCCTCCTTGTGTAAGTGAGCTCATGTGAGTGATTTTCTCTCTCGTTCTTCATCTTTCACTTGTTCTTTCACTTGGGTATGAATCACAACTTTTTTTTTGGTGTAGTGTAGTGTTTGGGTAGTGTAATGTGTTTGTTTTGTCTATTTTACCCAGGGTTGTCGAACCCCGGCCCCGGGACCCCGCCGGGGTTCCGGGGTTCCGGGGGTCGGCACCCGGGACCCCGGCCCCTTGTAGGGGAAAAAAAAAAAAAAAAAAAAAAAA